AAAATAGTAGATCCTATATACTTTTGACCACCCCTATAATGGTTCATACCATTGTGAATGCAAAATCAGTCTCTGATTATATTTATCTCTCGGCTAAGGTTCATGATACAATATGACTTTAAAGACCACTGAACTTAGGAACACTCCACTTATTATTTGGAAAATGTTCATCTTACAACTCCCCCAGTGTTAAACAGTTGAGTTTCACCATTCTTTGAATCCGTTTAGCCAATCTTCAGGTCTGAAGGGAGCACTTTTAGCTTAGCTTAGCATAAATTATTGACTCAGATTAGACCATTAGCATGTCTCTCAAAAATGACCGTTTTCTTAGTTAAGCCTCGACTCTTCTGTAGTTACATTTTGTACTAAGACCGACAGTAAAATAGAAATAGATATTTAATGGTTTCTACCTTATTTGTTTTTCATTTAACGATAATATCTAGTTTTTTTTTATCATAAATTATACATTTTTTTCCGTGTAAGTAATTCGACAGTGCCTCATTTGACATATTCTACCATTTCCTAACACTTACAATACAAAGAAGTTGTATAATTGTATACATTTTAGCCTAAATCTAAATTGTTGTTAATAAAAAAACATTCTTTAAATCTCTACATCAGCTAAAATGCTTTTTATTTCAAGTTATCGCTCCAGTATCTCACAATAGATGCTTTGATGAACATTCCAGTCCTCATAAAAATGGAACAACTGGACTCCCGGTGGCGTTTCTGGCTTTGCTTGGCACATGAAGATGTTTAAATGCCCACTATTCATGTCTGTTCACTGCATGGGTCCTTGCGTTTTTATTCCAGTTACAACAGAGCACTGATTGAGTATCAAAACTGGCTGAACACTGCGTGATTCTGAGGTTTCTGGCTAGTGTTTATTAGTCTTAGCAGGTTATTAGTTACTGCATGTTCTTCCTTTGCTCTAATGACAGCAGAATGTGAGAAAGTCCATGCATTAGTGTTAAATCCTGACGAATATGATCAGCATGATTTGAGATTCTGCCAAGGAGCATCTTGTAATTTGGTTGAATCGCCGTCAAATCATGTCTCAGATTTACTAAATTTGCGAAAGATTCATTTGAGGTTTAAAATCACTGTTCTGAATGCCAAACCTTTCTGTTTATTAGCTTGTGGCGAGAAAAGCAGGTCCCACATTTCAGTGTGGTCTCTTGAAGCCCACTGTACATACAAACATCCTGTCAGGCAGGAAAACCCCTGCTGCTTTTGCTTCATGTATTACATTTTTCCTTTCTGATTCTGCCAAAACGCTTGACTTCAAACTAGAGCCGTGTCAGTCTTTTTTAAAAATGAGCTTGCTGTCCCGGAGAGACCTTGCTCTGATGTTTTAGCTGAACATTTTATGGTTATATTGATATTTTAGTTGTTTGATTTGAACCATCGAGCCAAGGGATTGTTTATTGTGGTAAAGAGTAATCTTTCTTTGAGATAGATCAATATGACGGGAGCAACAGAAAATGTTCATTTCATTAAAAAAATTGTATTATAATAGAAGTAATCTGGATTATGTCATCAGATTACTCAAATCAAGGATTTGTATTTAAAGTAAACCACTTTTTTAAATACCTAATCAGACTAGTTACTTTTGTGGATCACACATGATTATATACTATTTACACGGTGACAGTAAGTTGTTCAAAATCCACTGATTCTCCTATTTTTTAATCTCTTTTTTTTTGTTTAATGTTTATATTTCTTTATATACACGTTTGTGATTTTCTTTCACATTTTAAATGCAGTAATATTGCTGCGAATTTTGTTTTGTAGTGTTGCTGTATACTCTCAGAAATAAAGGTACGAGAGCTGTCACTGGGTGTGCTTTTTCAAAAGGTCCACATTTGTACCTTAAAAGTCCATATTAATACCTCAAGGCTACATATTAGTACCTAAAAAGTACAAAAGTGTACCTTTTAAAATGTTCAGGTACTAATATATACTTTTGAGGTACCAATATGGACCCTTTAGGAACACATGTGTTCTTTTTGAAAAGGTACCACCCCAGTGACAACTCACGTACCTTTATTTCTGAGAGTGTATGTCAAGTATTGTCAAGCATTCTTTTAAAATCATAAGAAACAATTTTGTTCATTGAGTGTGTTACTATCAGCAATATTGGTATTAGTATTTTGAATTATTAACTGTCGATTTGTTGCTCTTTAAAAATAAGCTGTTAAGAGGATAAAGAATTACATTTATTTTTTTCTTTGTATCTGTCAAAATATCCCAAGATTATCCAGCTTCACTATGTGATAAAAAGGGTTAACACAAAAGTAATCTAAATGTAATCTAAAATTAGTACGATTACATTAACATAAATATGTAATCTAAGAGATTAAATTGTAATCAGTAATATAATGTCTTAGATTACAACTTTACAGTAACTTAAGCAGGTCGCACACCAGAAGCGCCGCTCGGCACCGCGACATGGTGCGCACATGACAGTTTAAAGTATCACACACCAGACGCGCACATTCGAATGATATTTGCGGCGCCGGTTTGTTTATCCTGATAGAAACCAATGTTTAGAATTCTAAAATGCAGGGCGCCGCATGGCGCTGTGCGGCGCGCCGCCGAGTGGCGCTTCTGGTGTGCGACCTGCTTTAACCTAACTACTTTGGATTACATTTAGATTACCATTTGTAATCTATTTAAATCATAAGAATAGATTTTTTTTTTAATAAGTGTGTTACTATCAGCAAACAATATAGTGTATATTAGTGCTAGTATCTTAAAGTATTAACCTGTCGATTCAATGCACTTTAAAAAAGCGGCTCTTGTTGGTGATGAAGAATTACATTTATTTTTTCTTTGTATCTGTCAAAATAGCACGAGATTATCCAGCTTTAGTAAGTGACAAATAAGGATTAACACAAAAGTAATCCAAATGTAATCCAAAAGTAGTACGATTACATTACCAAAAATATGTTATCTAAGATATAAAATTTCAGAATCACATTTAATTTTTCTTTATAATGGTCAAAATAGCACGATATTATCCAGTTTCAGTATGTGACTATTAAGGGTAAGCACAAAAGTAATTTAAATGTAATCCAAAAGTAGTACGATTACATTACCATAAATATGTAATCTAAGAGATTAAATTGTAATTAGTAATACAATGTTTTAGATTACACCTTTACGGTAACTTAACCTGACTACTATTGGTTTACATCTGGATTACTTTTTGTAAACTTTTTAAATCATGAGTCATAATTTTGTTTTATCAAGTGTGTTACTATCAGCAAACACTAGGTATATCAGTGTTAGCATTTTGAAATATTGACTGTCGATTTGTTGCACTTTAAAAATAAGTTATTAAGGGGATAAAGAATTACATTTATTTTTTTCTTCGTATCTGTCAAAATAGCACGAGATTATCCAGCTTCAGTATGTGACAAATAAGGATTAACACAAAAGTAATCCAAATGTAATCCAAAAGTAGTACGATTACATTACCAAAAATATGTTATCTAAGATATAAAATTTCAGAATCACATTTAATTTTTCTTTATAATGGTCAAAATAGCACGATATTATCCAGTTTCAGTATGTGACTATTAAGGGTAAGCACAAAAGTAATTTAAATGTAATCCAAAAGTAGTACGATTACATTACCATAAATATGTAATCTAAGAGATTAAATTGTAATTAGTAATACAATGTCTTAGATTACACCTTTACGGTAACTTAACCTGACTACTATTGGTTTACATTTGGATTACTTTTTGTAAACTTTTTAAATCATGAGTCATAATTTTGTTTTATCAAGTGTGTTACTATCAGCAAACACTAGGTATATTAGTGTTAGCATTTTGAAATATTGACTGTCGATTTGTTGCACTTTAAAAATAAGTTATTAAGGGGATAAAGAATTACATTTATTTTTTTCTTCGTATCTGTCAAAATATCCCGAGATTATCCAGCCTTAGCATGTGACAATTAAGGGTTAGCACAAAAGTAGTCTAAATGTAATCCAAAAGTAGTACGATTACATCACCATTAATTTGTAATTTAAAAGATTTCATTATATTCAGTAACATAATGTAATAGATTACACATTTATGGTAACTAAATCTGACTACTTTTGGATTACATTTGGATTACTTTTTGTAATATTTTTAAATTATAAGTAATGATTTTGTTTTATTAAGAGTGTTACTATCAGCAAATATATTAGTGTAAGTATTTTGATATATTGACTGTTGAGGTGATAAAGAATAACATTAATAAATAAATAAGTTAATTAATTAATTAATTAGCATAATTAATTATTAATTAATTACTGTCAAAATAACACAAGATTATTTAGCTTCAGAATGGGACAAATGAGGGTTAACACAAAAGTAATCTAAATGTTATCCAAAAGTAGTCAGATTATGTTGCCACAAAAGTGTAATTATCCTTATGTGTAATGTGCTAAGAGTTTACATTGTATTTAGTAATATAACCTCTTAGTAATATAACATTTATGATAATGTAATCTAACTACTTTTGGATTACATTTAGATTACTTTTTAGTCTAAACACAGAAGGTTAACATAAAAAGTTATTGATTGAAATGTAAATTTTGTGTTAACAGGAAAAGGTATTACAAAAGTAATCTAAATGTAATCCAAAAGTAGTCAGATTACGTTAGCATAAATGTGTGATCTAAGAGATTAATTTATTCATTAATTTAATAACAATTTTGTAATTTTTGTAATTTGTAATTACCACAGAAATCTAAATGTCTGATGAATACAATCATCTCTTAGATTACACCTTTATGGTAACGTAATGTGAACACCTTTGGATTGCATTTGAATTACTTTTGTAATAACTAAAATGTATTTTTTTTTATCAAATTTGTTTATGTAATTTTTAATCAGTAACTGACTACAATTCATGAGTTATCTTCCAAGTTCTGATAGGAAGGAAATATTTAGTATGAAATATGTTCTGTCTCTTAATGCAAATGTCTGTCTTGAACGCAGGTCCTTCCTCGGTGATCAGCAATGATGATGACTCCGCCAGTCCTCTTCATCACGTGTCCAATGGCTCCAACACTCCCTCATCCTCCGACATGAACGCAGACGCTGTAATCATCGGCATGACCAAGATTCCTGTGATCGAGAACCCGCAGTATTTCCGCAGCACCAGCAGTCTGCTCAAGTCTGATACCTGTGAGTTGCTCTGCCTATACATCTGCCATTACAAGTCATGCAAAAAGAACAGAACACAGAACAATACAAAAACAAAATTTTTTTTTAATTATTCTAATTTTTAATTTTAATTATATTAATTATTTTAATAATTTAATTTTATTAAAATATAAAATATTTTATAATATAATATAAATTAATATAAATTTTAAATAATTTTAAAAATATTTATATTTACAGTTAAAACCAAAAGTTTGCATACACTGTATAAAAAGGCACATAACCATTAAAAAAAAAAAGTCGGATGTTAATTCGACTAAACTGTTTCTCTTTTAGGTAAGTTAGGATTATCACATTTGTTTCTGTTATGCTTAATAGCAGAATAATGAGAGAGATATTTTGAGAAATTGTTATAACGTTTCTTGAAAGTCAAGTTTACTTACAATAAGATTATTATGCCTCTGAAAAAGCTCAGATGATAGTGTCAAGGTTTTAGAAGTTTCTGATTGGCCTATTGACAACATTTGAGTTAATGTGAGGCACAACTGTAGAAAAGTATTTAAGGAAAACCTCAAACACACTGCTTCCTTGTGTGAGAACATGGGAAAATCAACAAGAATCAACAAAAAACCCAGATTACAATTTGCTAAATTACACTGTAATTTGTAAAAATGTAAAAATGTAACTGTTTGTTACATTTAAAGTTGAAGTCAGAATTATTAGCCCCCTTTAAATCTTTTTCTTCTTTTTTTAAACATTTCCCAAATGATGTTTAACAGAGCAAGGAAATTTTCACAGTATGTCTGATAGTATTTTTTCTTCTGGAGAAAATCCTATTTGTTTTATTTCGGCTAGAATAAAAGCAGTTTTAATTTTTTTTAACACCATTTTAGGGACAAAATTATTAGCCCCTTTAAGCTGTTTCTTTTTTGATAGTCTACAGAACAAACCATCATTTTACAATAACTTGCCTAATTACCCTAACCTGCCTAGTTAACCTAAACAACCTAGTTAAGCCTTTAAATGTCACTTTAAGCTGTGTAGAAGTGTCTTGAAAAATGTCTAGTCAAATATTATTTACTGTCACCATGGCAAATATAAAATATATCAGATATTAGAGATGAGTTATTAAAACTGTTATGGTTAGAAATGTGCTGAAAAAAAACTTCTTTCTGTTAAACAGAAATCGGGGAAAAAATAAACTAGCGGTCTAAAAATTCAGAGGGGGATAATAATTCTGACTTCAACTGTAGAGGGGAAAGCTTACAAGCCTATGAACACCATCTGCGAAGTATGGGGGGGGGGGGGCAGCGTCATGTTGTGGGGCTTTTTCGCTGCAGGAGGGACTGCACTTAACAGCATAGATGGCATCATGAAGAAAGAACATTATTTAGAAATACTGAAGCAACATCTCAAGACATCAGCCAGGACATTAAAACTTGACCACAAATGGGTCCAAAGGTCTTCCAAACAGAACTTGACCCTAAGCATACTGCCAAATTAGTTGAAATGTGCTTTAAGGACAACAGAGTGAATGTTTTGGAGTGGCCATCACAAAGCCCTGATCTCAATCCTATAGAAAATTTGTGGGGAAAAAAAAGTTGAAAAAGCTTGTGCGTGCAAGACAGCCTACAAATCTGACTCAGTTACACCAATTCTGTCAGGAGGAATGGGCCAAAATTACTTCAAACTATTGCGAGAAGCTTGTGGAAGGATACCATTTGACCAAAGTTATACAGTTTGAAAGCAAAACAAAAAAAAATATGTAAATGTCAACTTTTGTCTGTCTAGAAATAAAAAATAAAAATAAAAAATTCTCTCATTATTCTGATATTCAGCAAATGTAAATCATTTAGGTAATCCTAACAGACCTAAAATAGTAAACGTTTAGTATGATTTACCATCAGACATTTTTAAAAAATGGTTATGTTCCTCTTTTAGAGTGTATGTAAACTTCTGGTTTCAACTGTATATGTACAGCTCTTAACATAGTAATTTCTCAGTGAATACAGGTCTTATATCTTGGTGCATTTGAACAAAACAGATTTATTAAACAAATATATTTATTAAAATAATATTTTAGTCACTATTTATTTGACGTCCCATTTGCGTGCACAAACACACAGTACATCATCTTACTTAACCCTCTCTTCTTTTTTTTTTTCTTCGCTGGCTACAGTATGTCCTTTCCTCCGCACTCTGGTTACTTTTAATATAGGCTTATGGTGTACAGTGAGTTACTGTAGATCGATGCGGCCTCATCATCCAGCTCTCGCTAATGTAATCGGCTGACTGGCTAGTTTTTCTTCAAAAGCATTTCTTAATCACATTAAGGATAAATCTCTGCGAGCGCAGTGTCTGTTCAGAATCTCCTCTCTTTATCTGTCTCTCCTCCAGAACACTAAACGCCTGATTAATCCGCTCTTATCTGCACACTGTCCTCACTCTCTAAAGGGATGCCTGGGACTAAAAACATCTCCGCTGCATCCCAAACTATCTCTAGTACACCTTTTATTAAATTATGCCCAATGTCCGGATTTACACATGTGGCTTCTTTTTGTAACCGAGGCTTTTGGACACACAAAACACACAAACTTTTGGATGCGTATAGAGCAGGGGCATTAAAAAAATAGAGATATTTATTTGAAGTTTTCAGATATGCCTCTGTCCATACAGTAAGAGTCAATGGGGTCCAAATATTACAAGAACACAAGGGGGCATAAATACAGTTGAAGGCAAAATGATTACCACTCCTTTTTCACATATTTCCCAAATGATGTTTAACAGAGCTAGAAATTTTCAGCAGTATTTCCTATAATATTTCTTCTTGCAAAAGTCTTATTTGATTTATTTAGGCTAGAATAAAACAGGTTTTATATTTTTAAAAACAACTTTAAGGTCAATATTATTAGCCCCCTTATGCAATATTTGTTTTCGATTGTCTAAAGCAGGGGTCACCAATCTCGATCCTGGAGGGCCGGTGTCTATTTTGAGGAGCTAAAATAGACCGCAATAGACCAGCTTAAAGCAGGTCTAAAGTCCAGCGCAGAGCACGTTAATTGTGCAGGATGTACAGCAATAATCAAATATCTATAGAAATAAAAATGAATGAGAGGATTAAAATATAAAAATAAAAATAAAATTCAACATAAATATAAAAACCACTACCTCCATGCCTTCTTCATCTCAGGGGGCTTTTTTCAGTTTATTCATGATAATTTGCATTTGTATTATGTTATTATTATTATTATTAGTTGTAGTATTATTATCTGCATATTTATATATGTTTTAATAAAAACAAGCTTAGATTTGTCCACCTGTCTCTCATATGGGGCACAGCATGTGTATAAGGATATAACTCAGTTTTTTAACCACACTTCGTCGTTATTGTTCACTTATTTGTTTGCTGGAAATTAGAACTGAATTTAGAAATAGTTTTCAAACGAATCTTTGCGCTTAACAAACAAAATTAATTATGAAGGCTAATGGATGTCTTCAATGGAGTGCATACAACAGCGTTTCTGTATGCACAAAGGAAAGAAAGAGAAAGTAAAGAGGCCGATTGGAGGAGGCTCGTTCTTTATCCTTGTGCTGCGTATGCTCTGTTTCACTGTTTTCTCACTAGTGAAGCGCTCAGTTTTTACAATTAAAAAGTCTGCCATGTAAATAGAAAATGCGCCATGGCGCGACTCTTAAAGGGAATGTGAGACGAGATTATGATTGGTTTATTCTCAAAACACACCCATAAGAGACAAACTCACAGACAAACTCACAACTCATTAAGAGACAAAAGCACAACCCTAGTAGACCATGCAATATAGGAAAAGTAGTTTCAGATGTGTCCTTTTATATGCCCTGCGCTTTAGACTTTGCACCCAGATCATTAAAATAGAGCCCCAAAAGTACATTTTGTGTTAACCCCAAACGTTATTACAAAAGTAATCTAAATTTAATCCAAAATTAGTCAGATTACGTTAACATAAATGTGTGATCTCTAAGAGATTATATCACTGACTGCAAATTGTCCTATAATATTTTTTTCCTTTGTAGAAAGTTTAATTTGTTTTAGTTTGGCAAGAATAAAAACAGTTTTTATAATTTTTTAAAAACTATTTTAAGGTCAATATTACAAATAAAAAAATAAAAAAACAGTTCTGTCTTGTTCTCAAATCTGATTGGCTGATAGCCGTGCAATATTCTGCAATATCAGAACTCCTATAGCCTTTTTAACCTTTGTGTATTACTCCGCCCACATACAGCCAGCAAAAAGCAGACACAACAGATCTAAAGTTTAAAAGATGCTTGCTCAACTGTTTAACTGTCAGCTTATGATTTGAATCCGAAAGAAAGTAGTTCCTCATACAAAAGTGTTTTTGAGACTCTCCATGTTCGATTTTGCTTTTATATACACAATTATGCCGTCAAACTGTTGTATAAACCTCGTGCCAACGCACGCCTCCCACCAGTGCCGATATACAGCCATATCGCACTGCTACTCATGTGATATTGCTCATATATATATATATATATATATATATATATATATATATATATATATATATATATATATATATATATATAATTACATTGAACACAATACCACCATTTTCAGTGAATGTCCCAAATATACAAATATGATTTTTAGATAAGTACACTAAAGTAACGTGTGTTTGTGTGCTTTCTGTTCGCAGTTGTTCAGCATATTAAAAGGCACAACATTGTGCTAAAGAGGGAACTTGGAGAGGGAGCATTTGGGAAAGTGTTCCTGGCTGAGTGCTACAATCTGTCGGCAGACCAGGAGAAGATCTTAGTGGCTGTCAAGGTTGGTTGTTTAAGTCACTGTTTCCCAACCCTGTTCCTCGAGAAACACCAGCAGTAAATGTTTTGGATATATACTAATATATATTTAGTATACATGAAAATATATACTAAATATATAATATATATTTAGTATATTTGAAAATATACTAAATATTTTGTGCCTTCCAGCAGGCACAAAATATCATAAGACATTAATATTAGGTCAGATTTAGGTTGTGATGTTGGGTGATTAAAATTCATTGTCTAGCCAAGGACAACGTTATTTTGATGTCCAAAAACGACGTTGAATGATGTTGATATTTGGCTGATTTTAGATTGTTTTGGAAAGTGACCAAACTCTGACATTGAGTCAAAATCTTAAACCAACGTCACATTGACCTCAAATACTGATATTTATTTGGCTGCTATGGCAACCTAAATCCAAAGTCTCCACAACGTCAAGCTGAAACATAATTAGACATTGATATTTGGTTGTTTTTAGGTTGCGTTGGAAAGTGACCAAAATCCAACGTCTGTCTGATGTTAGTTCTGACGTCAACCTGATTTTCATTTCCAGCCAAAATACAACTTACCAATGGGGTACAACGTCAATGGGACATCATGTTGACGTCCTGTGCCTGCTGGCCTCCTTTATCTGAACCATTCATTTCAGGTTTTGGAGTCTCTTCTAATGTTCTGATGAGTTAATTCAGGTGTGTTTGAATAGGAAGAGTTTTAAAATTTGTACTGTTGGTGTGCCTTCAGGAACAGGATTGGGAAACACTGGTTTAAGTTACTGTTGACGCAAGCGCACCGTATCGACACACACATAACGCATACATGTTTTATTCTTGTAGACTTTAAAAGAGGCCAGTGAGAATGCCAGGAAGGACTTCCACCGCGAGGCCGAGCTGTTGACCAATCTTCAGCATGAGCACATTGTCACGTTCTACGGCGTTTGTGTGGAGAGCGATCCTCTCATTATGGTGTTTGAGTACATGATGCACGGCGACCTCAACAAGTTCCTCAGGTACTGGAATGTGTCAAATTATTTCATAACAGAATCATTAATATTTATAGACATTTCAATTCATTCATTCAATGTCTTTTCGGCTTAGTCCCTTTATTAATCAGGAGTCTCCACAGTGGAATGCACTGCCAACTTATCCAGCATATGTTTTACACAGCGGATGCCCACCCAACACTGGGAAAGACAATTTAATGAATAATTCAATTTATATAACTGTAGTTGAGGTCAAGAAATATATAATAATGATTCTATTATAAAATTCAATAGTTATAATGGCCTCATGACAGTCATGTTTATGACAGATTTATGACAAAGACAGGTTATGATGTATTTGTTTATGTCAAGTTGTCATAACAAAGACATCTCAAACTATGGCACCTTTGCATTTCAAATGACATAACTGAGCGATCGCATTTGTCATAAGCTTGAATAGGGATATTGGGTTTAATATAATATACATTGAAATCAAATATATATATATATATACACACACACAAAATGTGTCTAATTGGAATAAAATATTGCATAGTCAAATCTTTTCGGCTTAGTCTCTTTATTAATTAGAGGTCGCCACAGTGGAATGAATCGCCAAATTATCTTATCCAGCATATGTTTAACGCAGCGGATGCCCTTACAGCTGCAACCCTGTACTGGGAACCCCCCATGCACTCTTGCATTTACACACATACACTACGGCCAATTTAGCTTATTCAATTCACCAATAGCGCATGGGCGGGAGCATCTAGACAAAACCCAACACGGGGGCGACAGTGCTGACCTCTTAGTCATGTGTCGCCCTTGACATAAACAAATACATCATAATCTGTCTTTGTCTTTGCCAACTTGACATAACCAAGATAACACAACTTGTCATAAATCTGTCATAAACATGACTGTCATGAGGCTGTTATAATTGTGCCATGAATTTTACAACAGCGTCATTAATGTTTTTCTTGACCTCAGTTACAGTGGTACAAAATTTAATTAGTCGTTAATTGTCATTAAATCTTAATGACGATGTTATGAAATAATTGGACATACTGTAGTATCGACAGTTTTAATGAGCAATTTAATGACAAATTCAGTTTATTCCACTGAAAAAAAGTGATCAGAAAACTGACAGTAATGTTTATGACAGATTTATGACAAGTTATGTAAGATATACCGTATATTTTCTCAAACAATGTCATGTTTGCATTTAAAATGACATTGCATTGCAAATGTGTTGTGAGAGTCTTATGAACACCCCTTCAAGTGAAGTGCTACCTTCAGTTTTTCATGTATTCAAAACCTGCCTCTAATTCAAAGTAAATCAGGCGTTCGAAGCATTACTGCTGTTTTCAAAAGCAATAACATAAACACATCCTTCTGAAACCAGATTACTGTGAACAAATTATATCATCATTTATGCCAATACAGGCTCATTGTGAAAACATATACCCGTATACATTTCTGGAGAGCGCGAATTATGTAGCCAGAGCTACGTATGAAATGTGACAGAAACGCTGACAAGGAAGTGCGCATCCAAATGCAGGGCTTATTGCACAGAGATGGTCAGGCAAGCAACGGTCAACAAAGGGAGAAACAAATGTACACAGAGTTGTGGTCAAAGAACAGACAAATGGTCAGTCCCGGCGGCAAACAACGTAAACAATAAACAAAGCAAAGATCGGTACAGGGCAAGACAAGGCAAGGAAAACCCGACGTAATGTTCACAAAACAGTAAAACAAGACTCTTGTGTCTGATGTGCACTGGTGTGTGTGTTTGTGTGTTTGTGTGTGTGTGTGTGTGTGTGTGTGTGTGCGCGCTTTGTTTAAATAGTCCTTGTAATCAGTTCATGAGCAGCTCCCAGCCATGAGTGTGTGTAATTTACCAAATGAGGAACAGGTGCATGTGAGCGGTGCATGACCGGAACTTGTAGTCCATACACCAGCGGATTTGTAGTCTTTAAGTGATCTGCATGTTTACCAGCGATCTGCCAGGATTAGATCGCTGGTGATTGTGACAACGTATGGCTGCATTTCCTTTACAAAACCAATGCTACGGGGCGGTATGACGCCGCGACAGCTTTGGTTTCTTTTCACGCTACCAGCTGACCACTTACCTCGGTGTTGACGGCTTTTCCGTTGATACCAATTTTCCCAGCAGCTTGCCATGTACGTCGGCAGACTTGAGACACAGGGAGAAGTTGATCATGAAGACGGGGTTTAAGTTTGGAGAAGATTGGTTCCAGAAAGCAGGTAAAACAAAAAGGAAAAATTAAATTAACAAGTAAATAACAGGGTAGGAATGTGGTAAGCTCTGAAAACGTGGTAAAAATCAGAGGGCTGCGAGGGTTTTTCTTTTTCTGGATTGCTTTTGAAAACACTGTCGGTTGGGTGTAGGGAAGGGAGTGATTGGGTCAATTGGTGGTTTTGGAAACACTATTGGGGGGGTGATTTAGTGAAGGAGGTGGGTGGGGGTTATTGGTCAGTTAGTCGACAGCGGCCTCTGTTGGAGTTACGCAAGAACAGCATGCGTGAATGGCACTCGTGAGAGAAGTTGAGAAATTTGAGATCTCAAAAAACATACACAGCGGCTTCTGGTGAACATGTGTGAATAAAACAGGCGCGAATGGCACTCGTTAGAGAAAATGAGAAATTTGAGATCTGAAAAAGTTTACACGGCGGCCTCTGGTGGATTTATATATATATATATATATATATATATATATATATATATATATATATATATATATATATATATCGCACTGTCCAGAAATGTATATAAAGGGTACGTATCAATAATGAGCCTGGGTTATTTTGAAACACTGGGAAACTTTTTCAACAATTTGTTGGACAGTTTTGCAAGGCAATGTTGCTTGGTTGCTTTTCTATTAAGAATGGTCAACAATGTTTCTTCTATAACCCATTGCTCTAATTAGTTACCCTGTGTCTCACCTAGTTGCTCATTTTGCTCAAAAAAGTTACCGCTGAAAACAGAATTAGTTTGCACCTGTGAGTATTAAAATGCATATTTGTGAAGGGTGGTGTGCTTATTGTCTCTGTCCACCTCAGGGCTCATGGTCCTGATGCGGTTCTGATGTCTGACGGACAGATCCAGCAGCAGGCAGAGCTCACTCAGTCTCAGATGCTGCACATCGCACAGCAGATCGCCGCAGGCATGGTCTATCTGGCCTCCCAGCACTTTGTGCACAGAGATCTGGCCACACGAAACTGCCTAGTCGGAGAAAATCTCTTGGTGAAGATTGGAGACTTTGGGATGTCTCGAGATGTCTACAGTACGGATTACTATCGGGTAAGATTTTGTTTTCAGTGTGTAAATGCACAGTACAGTTACGATCTTATTGCCACGTTATGTCGTTATAATAACATGATATCATTGCCTTCAGTGCTTTCCTGAAGATAAATACCAAAAAAAATTATAATAATAACACAACTGGAATAACTACAGGTGTCACAATCGTCTTATCTCATATGAAGCAAGAGATAGCAATGACATTTTTTGACGTGTGCAAATGTTGAAGTGCTGTCCAGTTTCTTAGGGGTACATTTTGAAGCCCTTTCCCTTCATACTCTATTTCAAGGAGCAAGGGGAAGGGGAAGGGAAAGGGGTACAAAAACAGAATTGGGATTGGGCCTAAGTTAACTTAATTTGTGTTGGGACAACATGAATGAATTATGTGGAACCCAGTATTTTTTACAGTGTATGAGTTTGTGCACACTGGCGGTGCCATTAGTTGTCTGTCCGCATAAAATAGAGATAACATTGTAAGACCGACCTCTGTGTCGCTTCTTTTGGAGAAGGCTGTTCGTCAGATGTGTCCATAAAACGGTTCTTCTCAGTAGCCATTGTTGTTTTTTAGCATACATTCAATTCAATTTAACTTTATTTCTATAGCGCTTCTACAATGTAGATTTTGTCAAAGCAGCCTAAAATAGAAGTTCTTGTAAACTGAAACGGTGTCAATCCAGTTTTCAGAGTTGAGGTTCAGTTTAGTTCAGTTGAGTGTGGTTTAATATTCACTGCTGAAAGTCCAAACACTGAAGAGCAAATCCATAGATGCGCAGCAAAGTAAGTGAAAGATCCATCTGGGGTGCGCCACACAGTTCGAAAATCCCTGGTTAGACTGCAACTATGCAGTTTATTTATAAGGATAGTGCCTATTTTAAATATTCATAATATTTAAGAGACAGCGCGTCAGCAGCCATTAGGCTCCATTAACATAGGGTATCACCTTCAACGCTTCCCATTCACTTTAAATGGGTGACGTCAGGCATTACCGAACTGCATAGCGGATCCGTCAGCGCTGCTTCAGTGGCGTTGCTCGCTGCAAAAGTTTTGACGAAAGCGTCAGCCAATCAGATCGCTGTATACACCAGCTCAGACAGTGGCCTATTGCTGAATAACTTCATTGGCTGTCGCTGCAATGATGATCGCGTCAGCCCCAACTACAGACAAACCCTCTATCAAGCGTTGACGCTGAAGTCCTGTGTGAGTGGGGCGTTAGCCTGTCACTGAGCAGAGCAAAAAGAATTGACGTTCCACCGCAAGATGGTGACATACAATGCATAATACGTCTCTAGGAGAGGAAAAGCTCAGCGATAAAATTTGAAATTACAAGTGATCAAATCATTATAAAACTGGTAAGTGACACTCTTAAGTTGATCTCTCTCTTTTGTATGTTGTAGTGCTGTATTTATACCATAGTATATCTGCTAGTGCTTGCTTTGCTTTGGCATTTTTAGGGTTAATTATTGTGATCTTCCAATTGCAACAGAGAAATACTAGGAACTTCTGTAGACTGATGGCATTTCTTGCCGTTTAGCATTAGAATCTTAAAATGTGAGCACAATCACCTGTTTTGTCATTACTTTAGATATTGCGCTACAGAATCATTCAAATACTAGCTCTAAAGTGACGTTGATGATTTAGCAACGGTTTATGCTGTTCTGACCATCGACTGCAGATGTGAGTGAATGGCGGAGGAAAGTAGTTCCTCATACAAAATGACTTTTGATACTCCCTGTGTTTGATTTTCTTTTTTATATACACGATTACGCCGTAGAACTGTTGTATAAACACAATATCACACGAGTAGCAGTGCGATATGGCTGTATATCGTCACTAGTGGGACACTGAGGCACTCGGCCTGCAGTTTCGAGCCAACGCACGCCTCCCACTAGTGCCAATATACAGCCAAATCCCACTGCTACTATCTATCTATCTATCTATCTATCTATCTATCTATCTATCTATCTATCTATCTATCTATCTATCTATCTATCTATCTATCTATCTATCTATCTATCTATAGTTTTTTATATAACTTTCAATAGAAATTCCAAATGCTATAACTTCTCAAAACTTTGGAAATTGTATGCTGTTCTCTCATGTTGATTTCCATAGTGTATAAAAAAGCTATTTTGTATATTTAATGTGATGCAGACACCAAAATAGCCAAGATTATGTCAGTGTTCAGATTGAGATTTATCGGTCCCTAAACCGAGATCAAGATGCATTACCTTCCATTCCGCTTTGGTTTCATTAGTTGGAAATTAATGCTGACTTCACAAGGACATTTAAAGGCATTCAAATCCTTTTTCCGACTATATGTATAAATCAATATTCTTCTCATGTTCTCGTCTACAGACCACTGAATACCAGCAATCTGAACACCTTGACCCTACCAGCTCTCTTCCAGTATGATGTCAGCAGAATTTCACTGTGTGTGTGTGTGTGTGTGTCCTGTCAGTAAGTCTCTTCCAGATTAGGAGTCAGGGAGGAAGGTGGCGTGGGAATCAGGAAAGAGGTGTTACCATGGCAACAGGAAAGAAAAAAAAAGAGAGCGCTTGCGCCGACAGACAGAAACCGAAAAAGTCATTAAAGATCTCTCATTAGCATTCCATTCAGCACGAGGGCCTGTATTGAGAACGAGAGGGGCCCAAGTTAGGGGAAAAGAGACCCAAAAAGGAGGCAATGAAAATATAAATGGATAGAGAGAGAGAGAAGGAAAGCAAGAAACCAAAGATTAAGCATTTGAGGAGAGATAGACAGAAGAGAGACAGACAGCTTCATTTATTCTTTGTTAGCAGGAAGTTCTTCTGTTGTGCTTCATTCATGTGTTGAGCGTGAATCATCCATCCAGTGATTGAATATGGCCTGAATGACGTTTATACACGCAGAACCGGGCTATTAGATAACTCTCCTCATCCACAACTGTGCCAAGTTTATTCAAGTTCATTTATCTGGGAGCACTGATGAATATCATGACACATCTCTATTATACCAGCCTCCACTGAGATTCAAATGCAGGTCAGTAGATGAGTCTGTGTGTGTGTGTGTGTGTGTGTATGTGCACTACGTGTACACCATTGATTAGGCCTACAGAACATCAGTTTCCATAGAAACAGCTGGTCAGGCAGTGGCTGATGGGTGGAGTTATGTTGTGATAGCATGTGGTGTAACCACAGAGCTTCTTAAGGAGCCACATTTGTTTATTTCAACTGGTTGATGTCACTATTCACTCTTCAATATTGCTATAATAAGTTCCTGGTTTATTTGCCCTTATTCCTCGGTGAATGGCCTAATATTTGCTATTATGAACAGCCTTTCATGTTGACTTTTGCAAAATGTAATCTTTGGATAGTCAGTTTTGACTTTTCGTTGTTCATAGATACATTGGTAGATCTAGTTCATTGGGTGTAGGGCAGGGGTGCTCAACCCTGTTCCTGGAGATCTACCTTCTTGCAGAGTTTAGCTCCTACCTTAATCAAATCACCTGAACCAATTAATTAGGACCTGAACAGCATTTGATAATTACAGTCAGGTGTGTTTGATATGGGTTGCAACTGAAATCTGCAGGAAGGTAGATCTCCAGGAACAGGGTTGGCCACCCCTGGTGAAGGGTGTAGGTAAGACACAGGTGTCAAAGCCAGTTTTTGGAGGGCTGCACCCTTGCAGAGTATAGTTGTTGTTCTGGAGATCTACCTTCTTGCAGAGTTTAGCTTCTAACCTGATCAAACACACCTGAACCAATTATTTAGTACCTGAACAGCACTTTATAATTACAGTCAGGTGTGTTTGATATGGGTTGCAACTGAACACTGCAGGACGGCAGATCTCCAGGAACAGGGTTGGCCACCCCTGGTGTAGGGTGTAGGTAAGACACAGGTGTCAAAGCCAGTTCTTGGAGGTCCGCAACCCTGCACAGTATAGTTCCTGTTCCTGGGGATCTACCTTCTCGCAGAGTTTAGCTCCTACCCTGATCAAACACACCTGAACCAATTAATTAGAACCTGAACAGCATTTGGTAATTACAGGCAGGTGTGTTTGATATAGGTTGCAACTGAACTCTGCAGGAAGATAGATTCCCAGGAACAGGGATGGCCACCCCTGGTGTAGGGTGTAGGTAAGACACAGGTGTCAAAGCCAGTTCTTGGAGGTCCACAGCCCTGCACAGTATAAATCTTGTTCCGGGAGATCTACCTTCTCGCAGAGTTTAGCTCCTACCCTGATCAAACACACCTGTACCTATTAATTAGAACCTAAACAGCCTTTGATAATTACAGGCGGGTGTGTTTGATATGGGTTGCAACTGAACTCTGCAGGAAGATAGATTCCCAGGAACAGGGATGGCCACCCCTGGTGTAGGGTGTAGTTAAGACACAGGTGCCAAAGCCAGTTCTTGGAAGGCCGCAGTTCTGCACAGTATAGTTGCTGTTCTGGAGATCTACCTTCTTTCAGAGTTTAGCTCCTATCCTGATACAACACACCTGTACTAATTAATTAGGACCTGAACAGCACTTGATAATTACAGGCAGGTGTGTTTGATATGGGTTGTAACTGAACTCTGCCGGAAGGTAGATCTCCAGGAACAGGGTTGGCCACAGGTCCACAGCCCTGCACAGTATAGTTCCAGCCCTGCTTCAACACACTTACCTGTAGATTTCAAACAAGCATGAATGACAATTAGTTTTTTAATTGTCATGAATGACAATTAGTTTGATTAGGTATGTTTAATTGGGTTTGGAACTGAACTGTGCAGAGCTCCGGCCCTCCAGAAACTGGCTTTGACACCTGTAAAATAGGACAAGGCATAAATGAGATCAAGTTGTTTGATTCACAATGTCCAAGTGAGTTAGTGTCAAATTTGTGAGGTAGTGTCAAACCATTTACACGTTTCTAGTCCAAAAATCTAACTATTCTTAAATCAAGAAGCATTTTCAAGACAAGTAAAATATACAATCTTTAAGTCAATATGAAGTGAGTTTTTGTCTTAAAAGAAGCAAAATAATCATGTTTTCATTTTGAAATAATAAAATGTTTTTTTCTTTTCTAAACTACCTTGATTTAAGATTTTTTAGATATTTAGACTAGAAACAGGAAATGTTTGACAGCAAATACTTTATGGGATCCACGGATGCAATTTAATTAGCAGTGCAATCCAAACAAAAATCCAGAAAGTGGGGAAAACTCCTAGCAATGCCTGCAACAATCACATGCTTTGCCAGTAATTGTCCATTCAAAACCAGTTCGAAGAACCATGGATTTTAAACTGGTGCAAACTGGCCTAAGCTTTTTAGCAGGATGTTGTTGTGCGGTTGAGTGTGTGTGTTTGATTGCAGGGGGAAAAGGTTTCTAATAGTGCTTGTCCAGTAGACCACTTTCTAAGTGACCCTTCCAGTCTGCAGATCCACTATGGGACCAGTGAAAAGCCTAAAAGCTTTTGACCTTAATATTTGATGAGTCCAGTATGTTAAACCAATTAATCTGAGACTAATCCACATACTGGACCACAATCTTATAATTAATATTTCAGAGGCAGCGCATTATGGAGAAAGCTAATAAATGAAATGATTGGTTTTGGGGTTGAGCTTCAGGCCAGACCAACTCCCCGAGCTTACAGCATCCAAATCCTGAGAGGCGCAACTTACGGCACCATCTGAGGTCCTGAGCTGGAAATACTGTCAGCGTTTGCCTGAGAGCTATTTGGATTGAACAATGCCCCGATTGCAAAAACAAACAAACAAACAAAAAAAACTGTCTACTCTTTACTCTTGCTCTAAAAGTCTGTAAAATTCTTGTCCATTAGCGCCTATCAGATCCTGAGATATTTGTTTAAGGAACTTGATTTTACGTAACCTGCTGTTGTTGATTTGCGTAAACTTGGACATGTTAATGTCAGTTCAACATAAATCAAATGTTCAGTGCTGTGCTGTATTTGTTTGTAATAATAGTAATAATATTGCTACGAGTTATATACATTATAACTTATATTAATTTCACAGAATCAAACTTATGTCTCCTACATCATGACTCAAAATATCAGTTGAGGTAATGTGCGCTTATTGTTTTCACATGTTAAGGTTGGAGGTCACACCATGCTGCCAATCCGCTGGATGCCACCGGAGAGTATCATGTATCGGAAGTTCACAACAGAGAGTGATGTCTGGAGTCTGGGAGTGGTGCTGTGGGAGATCTTTACCTATGGAAAACAGCCCTGGTACCAACTGTCAAATAATGAGGTACTCATACAATAACATGTACAGACATGTGTCATCTCCATGCAGTGAAATAACTTTGATTGGTAAATCTACACAACTTGTTTCATTTTTTTCTAAGTCAAAAAAATATATACTCCTAAATACTCGATGCACCCTACATTTGAAGTCCACCTAGTAATGTGCTAGAAACGACAATGAACAGCTTAGCAACTAGAAGTCAGTGGTGTCCATCCCTGTTCCCTGTATTTCAGAGGCAGCGCATTATGGAGAAAGCTAATAAACAAAATAATTGGTTTTAAGGTTGAGCTTCAGGCAATACCAACTCCCGAGCTTACAGCATCAAAATCTTGAGAGGCACAACTTACGGCACCATCTGAGGTTCTGAACTGAAAACGCTGTCAGCATTTGCCTGAGAGCTATTTTGATTAAACAATGCCCCGACAGCGAAAGCCTGTCAAATCTTTACTCTTGCTCTAAAAAGTATGTATGGTTCTTGTCCATTAGTGCTCCCAGACCCAGGGAGATTTGTTTAAGCAGCTATCCTGCTCCTCCAACTTTAATTAAACAGAGCTGAACCACATCACCAAAGTCTTAGGGATAACTTGTGAATTACAGCCAAGGGTGTTGGAGAAGGTTGGGACTGAAGGTAACCCTCTATGACAGGGGTGTCCTGCAGAGTTTAGCTCCAACTTTCCTCGGCACACCTCCCTGAAAGTTAAAGTACACCTAGAAAGAGCTTGATTGGCTGGTTCTGGTGTGTTTAATTTGGTTGGAGCTAAAACATGCAGGACACCGGCCCTCCAGGACTGAGTTTGGATACCCCTGCTCTATGATAAAGGTTTTTCATCTTTGCCCTGGATACCACCCAGAACATCCTAGCAGCCTTTCAACACAATATCAACCACCTAAAACACATTAACAACAAACTCGATGATCTTAAGGTATTGTTTTCTAACCTCCTTGCTTAAGGCAAAGCAAAAGAAAACATTTTAAAGTTCTTGCTAATGGATCGTTGTCTAAGTGGTTAGCATTGGATTTATAGATAATTGCCCAAGTTTTTTGGGAAAGACTTGGCCTGCTTAATAGAGATGCCCTCCAGGGAAGGTGTTGCTCTCCTTGATGGAAATCTGGCTCATAGTCTTAGAAGTGTTAGTGCTTGACTAACCAGGTCAGCAAGCAGACAGACAGGCTTAACCAATCTTATACAACTTGCCTTGAATATGTGGTGCGAGGGAATATGGGGTGGAAGAGAAAAGGCACTAAAAACCTCAGATTTCAACAAAACCTCCACATATAGCAAATCAGACTACGCCACCTAAGAAATTTTCTCCCAGGAAATAAAAACTGGCTCAAATATTGCTACTAGGCCACACAGGTTCATTTCTCATATGAATAGTCAAGAGACTTGAGAAAAGTATAAAAGTACAAAATTTATTTTCATAATAATTTTTGCCGGATAAAAAATTGTCAATTCTCAGAACATTCTGCCGGCACCACCCTCCAACGTATAGGGCTGAGGTCACACATAGGGATCACCAGTACTCCACTGTGTCCAAAAAGCACACTTCCACACCCACACACCCCACACCTGCACATTAGATCTACACACTCCACAGCAATTGACAAGTGTTGTGACACCACCACCTCAAAATCCTGCACCCGTGGGACCTCAGCTCCAAGCCGAGAATAGTACGCTCATGTATTCACAAATTAGTCATCTTCATTAATGCTACAAGCAAGCTGAATAGATGGCAGTCATTAACTCCAAGGCAATCGACAGGAAAACTGAAACAGACGTCAACAAACGCTTAACAAGAAGGGCGGGGCTGGAGGTGACACATCACCTAGCACAGCCAACCGGCTCTAAAATAGGCAACACTTGCTCCTGATTGGCTGTTACAAACGTCAATCACTACCTCTTATCCTATACACTGTCACAAATAGTTGCACAGCCCATTGCATAAAACATTTGTGTATAAACAAAGCTTTAAACCAATGAGTAAAGGAAAACAAAGGTAACAGTCAAGGTAACTCAAGGCAAGAGTTCTGGAGGTAATACTGAACCACTGTAGTGATAGACTTTGGCTGAAGGATTTTAGAATGACCAAACAACATTTCAGATGTGTTACAATCTGATTTGCTGGTTTGTCCATTAATATCATCCCATCGTGTCATTTTTGTTAGTACACAATCTGTTAAAATAAAATCCCATGACTTTTTTGATGTGCATACTGGAATTTATTCAGTAAATGTGCTTCCACTGTATGCACAAAATGGATAGAAACATAGCTATAGATAAATCTCTTCTACCTCTAGCTTTCTAGTAGCCCTTCGATATTTCAAAACTTTGCAGGACTGTGGCTTTCTGTGACCAAACTTGCCCAATCCTCCTCTAGGAATAGGGTAAGGACGGTGTGCCTCTTAGGTCATGTCCACAAGTAGATGGGTATGTTTGAAAATATAGTTTTTCCTTTCCTGATAAAGTGTTGATGAAAGGAGAAAACTCACAGACCCATGATCGTGTAAGACCACCACCTTAGGAACCAGACTAGTCATGCTTCTAAGAAGCCACTTTCCTCCAACGTATAGCTTGAACATCTTTTAAATGCACCAGCTCATGAAGGCTTTGGGGATTACTTCAAACTTTCAGGCAGATGTGTTGGGACAAACCCTATAGGGCTTTAGCCAACAAGTAGTAGAACTGGACACCTCATATCTTGACAGAACACCCCTGTTTTCTAGTTGCTATAGGACTGGTTACCTTCCCCCCCCAAAAAAAAAAAACAAGCAAGCAATTAAAAAGATAGACTTGAAGAATGAGAAGACCCTATAACAAACACGATTTGTGTGTTCCAAATGCATTCATCACCCTTCAAAGGGAACTTCAGAGTAAAAGCAATCAAGGTCATCAAATTGAAGGGTCATTCCAAACTGAAGTGCTGAAGTTTTGAAGGATACAACTGATGGACATTTCAGGCCTTGATCAGTAGAGAAGGGAATTTGTTTGGTGTATCACTGCGTTCGATTTGGAGAACCTCAACCCTATGCTCCGATCCCTTTAGACCCTAGGATTAGGGCATAGGGATGAGCCTCTCAGAATGGAACCCAAAGTAAGTCCAACATTCCTTCAAATTTTTTTTCAAATAGATGAGGTATTCAAACACTTATGGCTACACTATATAAACTTTATCATGTTTTATTTTACTAAAAAGTCCTGTCAAAATGCAGTTTGTCCCACACATTTCTGACCATTTATTTGGTTGACCTTTTATTCCTTGCTCTTTTGTAGGTGATCGAGTGCATCACCCAAGGTCGTGTACTGCAGCGACCCCGGACCTGTCCCAAGGAGGTGTATGACTTGATGCTGGGATGTTGGCAGAGAGAGCCGCACACCCGACTCAATATTAAAGAGATCCATAACCTACTTCTCAACCTAGCCAAGGCATCACCAGTCTATCTGGACATCCTGGGATAAACATAAGGAACGTGTGGGACTTCAAGTGTATTCCTGAATCTCCGACCCCCCCCTCCTCCTCTATCCCATCTAAAACCTTTTCTTCTGCAGCTTTAACTCTGTTGTCCTGCTCCTCTTCTCCATGTAAACATCTAGACACACTGGCAGGGATTCGTGTCCGTGTACGCTGACTATGACTGATGTTTTTCTGAACATTGAATTGAAAGAAGTGACTACTGTTTAGTTTACCAAGAACAAAATCCCAGAATGGTTGACCACCCTAAACGTCTGGACCAAGTTCACAGCTGGATATTTAAGTACACCGATCTTAACAACAAATAGGAATCAGCAGCTTCACGAAAAACGAACAAAAACGACTATGAGGAGGAAAATAAGTACTTTTCTGGACAGATTTGGTCCTGTCATCTGATACAAAGCACAGAACGTGAAGCTAGCATGGTGATCAACAGTGACAAACTGCAGCTATATCTATAAGTATACATGATATGTGTATATAGAACTGGACATTATGTAGTTTTACAGTTGAGCAACTCTAATTAAAAGCTTCTGGAAGCTGACGGGATGTTATTGCTGCCGAGCTTATCTGAAATGGCAAAGTAACCCACTAAAATGTCTCCAGAACATATGTGTTATTTATAGTGGGACAAGTCCCACCACTTTTGCCATTCCCATCTATTTTGTCCCACTACTGAAACTACTGGCAATAGTGTTATTTCCAGAGACATCAATGTATCACCAGTTGTTGAGTTTGAGTAGTGATATGGTGGTGGAATAAGGGTGTGTTTACATGACACTTTAAATGAAGAAACTTTAAATCATTTGGTCAGAGTCCGTGTGAAACTGCCAAGTTTACATGACCTCAGTAAATGAGGATTGATGTCTTACCGCTTTCGAAATGTGTCTACTTGGGACATAATCTTTCTGAACTTGTTCACTGAGATCACTCGCCAGTGAAGATACACTGAACAAACGTTTACAATTTCTTTTCTGATCTCAAATTAGTTTCCAACTTCAACTTCATCGTTTTTATATAGCACATTTAACAGCAAGTTTTGTGGCAAATTCATACAAATTTGTAGTTTAGTCATATGAAATAGTTCGATTTTAAACAGGAAGCATGGCACCAAACCCCACCCCTAAGCCCAACCATCAATATGGGGTGAGCAAATCATACTAAATTGTACGAATGAGATTGTACGAATTCGTATAAATTAGCCACTAAATCAAAAAGTTATGAATTTCCATGAGATTGTGTTGGACTGACCACAATGTAAAACATCTCAAATGTTGTTTTGGTCATTTTAAAATAAAATTTATTTTAAATTGTATGAATGACATCGTATGAATTTATATGAATTAGCCACTGAATCAAAAGTTACGAATTGCTGTGTGATCGTGTTGGACTGGCCTTGTTGTAAAACATCTGAAATGTTGCTTTGGTCATTCTAAAGTTCAATTTATTCTAAATTGTATGAATGTGATCGTAAGATTATACACAAATTAGTCACCAAATTGCAGTGAGATCGTGTTGGACTGACCACATTGTAAAACATCTGAAATGTTAGTTTGATCATTCTAAAGTCCTATTCAATCTAAATTGTAGGAATGAGATTGTGCGAATGTATATGAATTAATCACCAAATCAAAAGTTACGAATTGTTGTCAGATAGTGTTAGACTGGCCACATTGGTAAACATCAGAAATGTTGTTTCCGTCAATCTGAACTCCTATTCATTCTAAATTGTATGAAGGTGATTGTACGAATGTATACGAATTAGCCACTAAATCAAAAGTTACGAATTGCCGTGAGATTGAGTTGGACTGGCCACATTGTAAAACATCAGAAATGTCGTTTCCGTCAATCTGAAGTCCCATTCATTCTAAATTGTAACAATGTGATCGTACGAATGTATACGAATTAGCCACTAAATCAAAAGTTACGAATTGCCGTGAGATTGTGTTGGACTGGCCACATTGTAAAACATCTGAAATGTTAGTTTGGTCATTCTAAAGTCCAATTTTTTAAAATTGTATAAATGTGATCGTATGAATACAATCGTACGAATGTATTCGAATTAGCCACTGAATCAAAAGTTACGAATTGCTGTGAGATTGAGTTGGACTGGCCCTCAGCCAAAGTCTGTCATCAAAGTGGTTCAGTATTATTACTTTTGTTGTAATTTGTTGTCAATGTTATTCGCAAATGTTTTATGTTTAATTCCCATCTTTGGATAAAAACATAGCTAGCTTCCCATGTGCGAAAAACAGTTCCTACAAAACATCTGTCATGTAAACACACCCTTAGTTGTTCTGTACGACGTTTGACTTCTCATTGTTCACATTTGAGTTTTGAGCAGACATGTTTATCAAATCATAAATTATTTAAACGATGCATATCCATAAGCCATGCCTTGGCCATTTTGTGACGTCGCAACCAGCATGTTTGTTTCCCGCCACTAAATAAACAGCCACAATTCTCAAGTGTCCAAAACAACATGCACTACAGAGGGCTTGATAGAGGATTCATTTGAGACGACGTCTTAATACTATCAGCTTGCATTTCTTACAAGAGCTTAATTACGCAAAGTGGCCGATTATGATGGCGCTGGCTAAATTACGACCTCTCTCTTTCTCTTTTTCTCCTTCGCCATGTTTTACTACTGAGTCGAAGCACTAATGTAGTACTCAAGCTTCGGGTTGTACAACTGCTACAGTGTAATATATATTTCATTACAGGACAAATGTCTCCTATTAGCAGCAACTCCCCGCGGACTCATACGTGCTATCAGTGGGGAGAAAAAGGAGGGAACAGGATGGAGAGAACGAGACAAGGACAGGAAAATACTGTTAGAGAGTGATTAATAATATAATAAATAAGAAAACCCACATTTCTTCCCTTTATCATACACAAAAAATGATTATATCTATTTATCACTATAGAGATCCTATCCAACAGGGGACTTCAGTCGAACAAAAAGCCTCCAAATCATTTATATTGTGATTTTGCTGGACATTCATTCATTTATTTAAGGAATAATCTTACTGAATTGTTTTTATTTATTTTGTACTTGAGCACTTTTGCATTTGGTTTTTGCCTGTAAATTATGTACAATTTTATTTTTTTTTTATGTTTGAGAATGAATGTAGGGGTGATTTTTTTAAATCATGGAACGTATCGATAAACAAAAATGATGATGTAAGATTACATATTTTGAGTAAACGGTGAGAAAGCTTTAGGGTAACTGTCCATATTATAAAAATAATGAAGGCTTTTTTTTGGATTGTGACACTATTTTATGGCTATTAGGAACAATTTGACTTCAAATCCTCAATATTTTATGTATTTAAACAGTCATTCTAATACAGGTTCACAGCAGAAGAGTGTTTTTCATTTAAATAAGCGTCATAAGACAGCAAAACAAACAAATATGAATATTTTACAACAGAGATGCCATTACTTATTTTGTGCATTAATGACTGAGTCTTTTATTACAGTGGAATGAGTTTAAATCTTTTCTCAGTACTGGCGTGCGGCTGGAAGGGCATCCGCTGCAAAAAATGTATGCTGAAATAATTGGTGGTTCATTCCCTCGTGGCGACCCCTGATAAATAAGGGACTTAGGCCCCGTTTACACTAGTGCGTTTTAGTTTTAAACCGGTGTTTTAAATCAAAAACGATCCGCGTCCACACTACGCCACCAAAAACGTATGTCACGTGACCATTCGTGCACTCTGGGCATGCGCGTTCTAGTATAAAAAGAAACCATGTGTCACGCTTAGCATTTGGTTATTGTAAGTCAACAAACGCTGGTTGAACAATGAAGGCGATGGCAAAGAAAGCAAGAGAGGTATTTTTGTGGACAGACGACGAGGTCGAGTTGTTACTAAACGTGACAAATGAATAACTGCACAATGGCGCCTAAAGCAGACAATAGTGCAAACAACGCTCCCATTTCTGTGTCCATGTTGTTGTTTACAGTGAACGCTGGTCTGCTGTCTTCTGGTAGCGTTAAAGCCATGTGTTATAGTCATGTGATAGGGGCTTGACGAATAAGGGAAGGATAGGCAATGACACAAAAGGCCCAATCAGGTAGCGAATCTCAGCAGCCCCGCCTCCATTTTCAGATTTCTCCGTTTTCCCTCATCCACACTGAGACGGAGCAGCAGCGTTTTAGAATGAAAACGGCCTCGTCAGCGTTTTCTAAATGCTCCGTTTTTGGCGCTCGAGAAATCTGGCGTAGTGTGGACAGATGGCGTAACCGTGGCAAAACTTATGCGTTTTCGTGTAAACTGGGCCTAAGCCAAGGGAAAATGAATGAATGAGTTCAGATCTGCTTAGTTCTCATGTAAATAATGCCACAATCCAATCTAAACTGAGGAAAACAATGTCTTGAGATACTATTATGTTTCAGTGGTTTATATGAATATCGCCTCACGCAAAAAAAAAATAAAAATATCCACAACAAACTGTGACTGCATATCATAATATCTTCTTCGACATGTACAGATCTACTTTCTGATGTTTCACGATGTCTACAAGCTAAATGCCTTCCCCAATTAAACCACATGACAAGCGCTAACCCGGTCATATTTCCTTTTGCATTTCTTTTACAGTTAGACAGTTGAGTTTTACCATTTTTTTGAATCAATTCAGGGTTTGGCAAGAGCGTATTTAGCTTAGCATAAATACTTGAATCTGATCAGACCATTAGCATCTTGGTAAAAAAATGAAAGAGTTTAGATAGTTTTCCTATATAAAGCTTTTGTAGGGACGTCGCAGACTAATGCTGTTCACACCAAAAGCGGCACATGCAGCTAAATTGCACATTTCATTTGTGCGTAAATAGATGGGTGAACATTTTGAATTAACTCACACGTCAAATTCCTTTCACAATAGACGCAGATTCGCGTCATGGGCTTCTATCTGCCCGGTGGCTTTAGCTTCGTTGCTAAATTCCTAACATGGATTTTATTGAGAGAGTAGTTGTGCTTTATGAGCTTTAGGAAGGCTGAAAAAAAACATAGATTCATTTTGTTTGGTCCACTAGATGCTTTTAGAGGTGCATCCAGCTCTGTGAGTTGATAAACTCCTACAGAAACAGAAACTCCTCCAGTGTGATGAGCTAGGGGAGACACCAACAACAGGCGTTATGTCATAATCACACCCCTACAAGAGCAAGCTCATGATTGTTTAATGCGATATGAATGTCCGCTGATGTTCAGATTTTACAACTCTAGCGATTTGTGCAATTCGCAAGTTAAGCGCGTCTAAAATGTAAAACTATCAACTCACGCCACTTCATTCCCGCAAATCGCATCATTTGAACCATTCGCATCATTCGCGCTGCCTCATTCGAACCAATCGTGTTATTCGCGCTGACTCATTCGCACCAATCATTTCATTCGCGCAGACTTATTAGCACCAATCGTGTTATTCACGCAGCCTCATTCGCACCAATCGTGTCATTCGCGCCCACTCATTCGCACCAGTCGTGACATTCGAACCGACTCATTCGCACCAATCATGTCATTCGTGGCGCCTCATTCGCACCAATCGTGTTATTCACGCAGCCTCATTCTCTCCAATCATATCATTCTCGCCGCCTCATTCTCACCAATCGTGTCATTTGCGCCGCCTCATTCACACCAATTGCGTCTTTCGTGTCGCCTCATTCACACCATTATGTCATTTGCTGTGCCTCATTCGCACCAATGCGTCATTTGCGCCGACTCATTTGCACCAATCATGTCATTCGCGCAGACTCATTCGTACCAATTGCATTGTTCGCGCTACCGCATTCGCAACAATGACATCAGAATGCCTATTCGAGTCTTTGCTTTGACTTAACATGCACCATTAGACTGACGGAAAATGAAAAGTTGATATTTACAACATGACGCGGTAGTAAAGTTCCTTGATTATATTACACCAGAATGAAAGTTTAGTTCCTAGCCATATTAGCCAAGAAAATAGCATTTGTTGTTTTTCCCGTTAGTCTTAATACATGATGTAACTACAGAAGAGTCAAGTTTTGAATAGGAAACTGATCAAGATTCTGATCATTTTGCACAAGATGCTGCTCTAATCCAATTTAATGACCTATGCTAAGCTAAGCTAAACCTTCTCCTGCCAGACACAGAGATTGGCTGAATGGAATGTTGAAACTCAACTGTTTAACTGTAGGAGAGTTGTAAAATTAGCATAATTTTTATTTTCTAAATAAAGTGTTTCGTTAACATACCAAGGATTTCTGCAAAGTATCAAGTAGTGTGTGATGATTTCATACAGTTAAAAAACATGTCCAATCAAATCAAACCCCCTTGTCTGTACTGTACATGATTTCTCTGAGCTATATGGACCAGTGGATCTGTCCGCCATTGTATTTAATAAAAGTGTTATGTCTTACCTCATGGTGAGTGTGTGCGGAGTGTGTTATTGTGACAGTGAGAAATGCGCAGCTCCAAGTTTATGGGTTGGTCAATAGAAAGGTTCATACGGAGTGCTTTGACAACATAGGCTGAACGTATTGACCTACAGCTACTAAAATGCTTTATTGACAGCCATGTTTTTTTATGTCCTACTGGCCGCCAGCCTGAAAAGATGTATTTCATGGCGGACTACGATGGAGGCCAGAGCGAGTTAAAAACAATTTATGATGAAACGGCACAATCCATAAAGTTTATGTCTAGCATTAGCCATAATGCTAAAGCTTCAAGAGTAGATTAACACAAGTACTCGTTCCAATTCCCATTTCACTCACGCAGACCGAGGGGAAAAGAAATGGAGGACTGATCAATCAGGAAATCGATGGTTTGTTTTGACGTTGTACATTAAGACCTAACTAATTGCCAGAGGGCTAAATGCTTTTAAAAACACATCCAATGCACTCAGTAGGAGTTTGTACAGCAGGGTCTCGGAGGAGTTCTCCAAGTGTGCAAACAACCACAGCGCCAAACCAACAAACATCATCACTTCTGATCTCCTCACAGCAAACCACATTATATGTATTTTTCAAATATTTCCCAAATGATGTTTAACAGAGCAAGGAATTTTTCACAGTCATTCCTATAATATTTTTTCTTCTGGAGAAAGTCTTATGTGTTTTATTTCAGCTAGAATAAAAGTAGTTTTTGATTTTTATACACCATTTTAAGGACAATGTTATAAGCCACCTTTAGCAATATATAATATCTTAAAAAAATATCTAGTCAAATATTTTGTACTGTCATCATGGCAAAAATAAATAAAATGATAAAAAAAATGTTTTGAGTGTATAAATCGACATGTAATATGTGTCATAAATGATACCTCAAATAGTGTGGTACATTCATTCAATTATTTTTTTTTTTCAGCTTAGTCCCTTTATTAATCTGGGGTCACCACAGCGGAATGAACCACCAACTTATCCATCATGTTTAAATTAAATTAAATTAAATGGTGCAGTGGGTAGCACGTTCGCCTCACAGCAAGAAGGTCGCTGGGTTGCTGGTTCGATCCTCGGCTCAGTTGGCGTTTCTGTGTGGAGTTTGCATGTTCTCCCTGCGTTCGCGTGGGTTTCCTCCGGGTACTCTGGTTTCCCCCACAGTCCAAAGACATGCAGTACAGGTGAATTGGGTAGGCTAAATTGTCCGTAGTGTATGAGTGTGTGTATGTATGTGTGGATGTTTCCCAGAGATGGGTTGTGGCTGGAAGGGCATCCGCTGCGTAAAAACTTGCTGGATAAGTTTGCGGTTCATTCCACTGTGGCGACCCCAGATTAATAAAGGGACTAAGCCGACAAGAAAATGAATGAATGAATGAATGAATTAAATTAGAAGGGCATCCGCTGAGTAAAAACTTGCTGGATAAGTTGGTGGTTTAGTCCTCAGTGGCGACCTTAATAAAGAGACTAAGCCGACAAGAAAATGAATAAATTAAATTAAATTAAGTTAAATTTAATTAAATTTAATTTAATTTAATTTAATTTAATTTAATTTAATTTAATTTAATTTAATTTAATTTAATTTAATTTAATTTAATAATAAAAGAAAAGAAAACTAAATTGTGTAATAATATCATTAATTAAAGAAATTATTCAACCAGAACTAAAAATTCTGTCATCCTCCACTTTTTCCAAACCTGTTTGAGTTTCTCTCTTCTGCTGAACACAAAAGAAAATGTTTTTAAGGAAGCTGGAAACTTGTAACCATTGACTTCTATGTTTTTTGTTTTTTGTTTTATATATGTTAATGGTTACGTTTCCAACTTTCTTCAGCATATCTTCTTTCATGATCAACAAAATAAAGAAACTCATAAAGGTTTAGAACATTTATGAAAGTAAAAAAACAAAAAACAAAAAAACAAAATTGAGTAGTTAAGGATGAGTTAATGATAATGTACCCCTTCAAGTAAAGTCCTGACATTAAGAGACATCGTCACGTCACGAGTCCATGTTTAGTTAAAGCTAAAGTGTTAGTTAATGCATTATCAACAAACATGTTCTAACATTATTTGGTCCCACTTTATATTAAGTGGCCTTAACTAATATGTACTTATAAAGGAACTAATAGTTTGTTACAATGTACTTATTGTGTAAATACATGTATTTACTGTGTACTTATTCTTGATTAAATACATGTATGTAATTACATCTGTAATTAACTTTTGTAATTACATTTGTAAATACACTGTTGACCATCCCTTACACCTTAACCCACCCTTAATCCTACCCATGCTATCAAACCTGTCCATAACCCAAACTCTATTCCAACTCAAAAGCACCACAAGTGTTCTCAAATACATTATAAACACAGTAAGTACATTGTATTAATTTTTTGATGTAAGTACATAGTAGTTAAAGACACTTAATATAAAGTGGGACCCATTATTTTTTAATTTTTATTTTTTTTCTTGCAACTGGTCTTTTTTTTTTGCAACCAGTATGCTCGGTTGAACCCGTGTGACATCATGTGTGATGTAGGTTGGTAATTCCCCTATACATTTATTTGGTTGTTTTCGACATCCGGTGTTGTCAACACAATCTCAAGGCAATTTGTAACTTTTTGATTTAGTGGCTAATTCGTATGAATTCATACGATCTAATTCGTACAATTTAGTACGATTTGCTTATCCCCTAATGACGATTGGGTTTAGGGGTGGGGTTAGGTGCCACGCCTCCTTTTTAAAATCGTACAATTTTGCACAACTGAACTCGTACGGATTCATACGAATTAGCCACTAAACTGGCAAAACGTAAAATACTTACGTTTTCTCGTGAGATCAGGCTGGTGTTGTGATCAGCACCTTTAGAAATATGGTGACGTGTTCTTATTTTCCCAGCTGTATAGTATTACTTTGAAAGGCAACACTGCAGTTGGGTGTTTGCACCAAAACCATATATTAATACATAAAACCAAAATTAATCAGTACCAAGTGGGCACCTTGACCTCAAAATGACACTAAATTAACATTGAACATTGGCAAATAATCGATTTTCAGATGCCAAAGCTAGATGTCAACTTGCTGTGTTTTGAAATCAAGGTAGATGACATGCATTGTACGGTAACAAAATCCAGTATGTACATTTGCAATGGGAGCTTTTAGAAGAATAAAACGGTGTGTGTGTGTGTGTGTGTGTGTGTGTGTGTGTGTGTGTGTGTGTGTGTGTGTGTGTGTGTGTGTGTGTGTGTGTGTGTGTGTGTGTGTGTGTGTGTGTGTGTGTGTGTGTGTGTTTTTAGTGGTCATCCATGTGTGGATGTCAAATGGACGTCAAAGTTTTGACATCAAATCAATTTTCATTTTTAACATCAAGGTGCCTGCTGGGTTACACACATGTTAACAGCAGCTGAAAAGGTCTTAGGCTGAAGGGGGGAAGATGGCTTCATCAAATTTTAAAGTGATTGCCGCCATTTTACGACAGGGGCCCTCCTCCTCATTCTTGATGGATTACTTTCCCACCTTGCTTCCTCAGAGATATTCACTTTAAAATGACCGTTCAATAAACGACTTGGGCAACTGTGAGGTTTTGTGGTCTGTTAAACAGTAAACACAAATCCATCCCAAAGTCAGGTCTTTATTCCGGGGAAAGCAAGATCATTTGGGATATTAGCAAGCGTTTTCTATTCATCAGACTGACCACATTAGCAGCTGCTTTGCGTCAGTGTTAGAGAGAAAACAGCCGCTGACAGCAGGCTTTGGCTACATTGAGACCATTTTTATTTTATTTTATCGTTATTTTGGTAACACTTTAAATTATGGTCAATTAGTTAATGTATTTTCATTAATAAATGGACCATTATACTAAAGTGTTACCCTTATTTTTAACCACAGTAGTATATCAGTGCTGTGGTACAATGCTGCATTAACTTCAATTCAATTCATCTTTATTTCTATAGCGCTTTTACAATGTAGATTGTGTCAAAGCAGCTTAACATCAAAGTTCTAGTAGACTGAAACAGTTTTCAAACTTAACGTTTAGTTCAGTTCAGTTCAGTGTGGTTTAATTTTCACTGCTGAAAGTTCAAACACTGCAGAGCAAACGCATCAATGCGAAGCCCGACAAGTCCCAGACCAAGCAAGCCAGTGGCGAGGAACAAACTTCACCAATTGACGAAAGTGAAGGAAAAAAAAAACCAAGAGAAACCAGGCTCTTCTCTGACCAAACAGCAGGTGCTAACTAGCAAAATCTATCAATCGACATGTACTTGGTTCAAGTTTTACCATTGATACGGTAGTTTTAAGCTTTGTGTTTTGAGATGTAGAGCCATAAAGGGTCATTTTCTTAAAAATGAAGTCTGTCACAGAATGTTGAAAAACATCAGGGTGATTGACAAACTGGGTAGCAACCAAGCGGCAACCTCTCGCTCTCACTGTAACTAAAACTCATCGACTCGCCTTTGGGGGTTGGCTCCAGGAAGTCCCGAGGTTTTCTGACTGCAATGGTAAATTGGCCAATTTTACAGCTCATAAAAACATGTTTACAGCCTGCTCAAAAGATGGTTTTGGTGTATATATTTAATATTACCCTTCACGACAACTGTGAGAGGGTGTGTTTTTTTTTCATCTGTTTCATTTTTATTACGTTTTATTAAGTCTGCATAATATGGGCTGACCCATATATATATATTGTTGAAGTCAGAATTATTAGCTGCCCATGATTTTTTTTTCTTTTTTAAATATATTTTTTTCCAAATTATGTTTAATCTGGTAACATTTTTTCTTCTAGAGAAAATCTTATTTGTTTATTTTCGGATAGAATAAAAGCAGTTTTTATTTTTTTAAAAACCATTTCAAGGTCAATATTATTAGCCCATTTAAGCTTTATTTTTTTGATAGTCTACAGAACAAACCATTGTTTTACAATAACTTGCCTAATTACCTTAACCTGACTAGTTAACCTAATTAACCTAGTTAAGCATTTAAATGTAACTTT